ACCTGTATGGGTCTCATTTTTTCACACTTATCAAGAAAGATGCCAGAAACAAATTAAAATTACAACTGAGGCCTTATCTACAATTTTTTTCTTTTCCTCTTCCTCCCTGTTCTCCCTTTTTCCCCCTTTCTCTCCCTTTCTCCCCCATCTCCGCTAAGATGTAAATTTAAACTGGTGTGCATTTAAACTAGTATCACTCCTCATGTGGGTACTTCTATTCCAGTCTACAAGTGTCTTTTTTCAGTTTACTTTGTCACTTTGTAAGGCGTTTAAGCTAAACTGTAGCAAGGCATTCACACTAGAGTTAAGGGTGTCCGGATTTGTGGGGGGGGTAGGGAGGAGACAGGTTTGTTACACTGCTATAATTATACCCGAATAGATATATTAGTATAACTAGCAAAACTTTCCTGTGTAGATAAGACCTAATTGTTTTCTGTTTTAATCCTAGCAATGCACCGTGCTAAAAAAGATTCCAGGGAAACTCTCCAAGTTAGTGAGATCTTACCAAAACAACAAGCTGTTTAAAACTTTCCTTTCCTTAATCAATAAACTCACAGTGCCTGCTTGAACTCATGAACATGTGGTCCACCCCAGGAGAATAAAAATGGAAACACGAGATGCTATTTTTGTGTAGTTAGAGGCTTGTGGTGTATCCTTGAATATTTTTAAACTGGAAAATTAGCAAGATTAAAATGAGTACTTTAGGTGTCAGTTCTGTCTTGTAAATTGCTTCTGGGAGCTTCTTTTCTGGTAGTAGTTTTTAAAACGTACAAACATCGGCCTTGTCTTTTCATTTGCTATCTCTTCAGGTGTGTTTTTGAAAAAGGAGAACACGTTGTCAGCTGTGAATTCAGACTAAGGTAGGAAAGAGTTCTCCGTAAGCGTGGGTTTAATCCAAAGGACTCACTATCCACGCTCTTTTATACGGTTGGAGGGGACACAAACTAACACTTAGAGCCATGCTTCTTTCTCTGACAGACATTATTGCAAAATCTATTTTTCCTACTTCAGTTCTATCCTACAAGGTGCACAGAGCTTGGCAGGTGTTGCCAACTGATTTCAAAGAGAGCTTGGCAGGTGTTACCAACTGATTTCAAAGAGAGTTGAGGATCCGTAACACCTTACAAGAGGTGCTAAGCAACACCTCACAGGATGGGGTGATTCAGTGGAGGAGCATGGTCTCTAGTGGTTATAGAATGGGACCAGGAGTCTAAGGCTATTGGGGTCTATTGCCATCTCTGCAGTTGATTCACTGTGTGATCTTGGACAATTGGCTTAGCCTCTATATATTATTTGCTAATAGTTATTACTTCTAAGATGAGCAGAATTTTTAAAGACTGAAACCAATGCTGCTTTGTGAATTCACTGTCAGAGTGCACTAGTATACTACTAAACTGATCCTGAGGTTCAAACAAGGCTTCTTTGTTGGATGCATGTGATCCTTTAACCTGCAGTAAGATAATCCTGATGCCCACATCTCTCTTATGGTAGTCTGTTATGCATAGTTTTCAGGCCATTTGGTCAGAAAAATTTTTAATGCAGGGACTCAAATATAGTAAAAATCTTAAATGAATCGAACTGTAGCATAGTATCTCTATGGATAAAAATGCTGTGCTTGAATAGTAAGAATATAGCAGTTGGAATGTACAGCCGACCACCTGACCAGGAGAATGACAGTGATGGTGAAATGCTCAGGGAGATTAGAGAGGCTACACAAACAGAAGACTAGATAACTATCCCTGTACTGATTGGGTACATATCACCTCAGGATGGCATGTAGAGAGAAAATTTCTAGTCACCATCAGTGACTGCTACTTAGAGCAACTAGTCCTGGAATCCTCAAGGGGAGAGTCAGTGCCTGATTTAGTCCTAAGTGGCACACAGGATCTGGTCGAAGAGGTAAATATAGCTGAATCTCTTGATAATAGCAACCATAATGTAATTCAGTTTAACATCCTTGGGGGTTGGGGGATAACAAAGAAACCTGCCACAGTAGCATTTAAAAATATGAAACTGCAGCACTACTGACTGTGGTATGTAACTTAGCACTTAAATCAGCCTCTTTATCAAATGACTGGAGGATAGCTAATGTAACATGGATTTTTAATAAAGGCTCCAGAGGCGGTCCTGGCAATTACAGGCCGGTAAGCCTAACTTCAGTACCAGGCAAACTGGTACTGAAATCATTAATGGTGTGGAGAAAGTGAATAAAGAAGTGTTATTTACCCCTTCATATAACAAAAGAACCAGGGTCACTAAAGGAATTTAATAGGCAGCAGATTTAAAACAAACCTAAGGAGTTACTTCACACAATGCACATTCAGCCTGTGTAACGCAATGCCAGGGATGTTGAGAAGGCCAAGAGTATAACTGGTTTCAAAAAAGAATCAGATAAGTTCCTGGAGGATAGGTACCTCGATGGCTATTAGCCAAGATGGTCAGGGAGGAAACCCTATGCTCTGGGTATCCCTAAGCCTTTGATTGCCAGAAGCTGGGACTCCATGACGGGGAATGGATCACTCAATAATTGCCCTCTTCTGTTCATTCCTTCCGAATCACCTGGCACTGGCCACTGTCGGAAGACAGGATTCTGGACTAGATGGACCATTGTTCTGTCCCACTATGGACATTCTTATGTTCTTATGAATCTGTGTTGATAGATGTATGCCCTAATAATATTATCAGCTGGGTTTGAGGAGTTCCACACTAGCTCTGCAAAGTAAATAGATGTGTGGCTGTGGGGGAGGCAGCAGAAAGCTTGAAGGCAATTATTTCTCTTCCACTGCAGAAAATCCAGGCAGTCAAGCAGGCTGTAAATTTACTCAAAACACTAGTATATCTATCCAACCGCTGTTAGGGTGTTTCTCAATGTGGGTAGATAGTTGCATGCTAGCTCTGCTAGCATGCTGAAAATAGCAGTGTGGCTGCAGCAGAAAGGTCAGCAGCTTGGGTTAGCCACCCAAGTACAAACCCTTCTGATCCCATAGGTAGGTACTCGGCTGGCTAGCCCAAGCCGCTGCCTGTGCCACTGTAGCCATGCTCTTTTTAGCACGCTAGCTTTCTGTCTACCTGTGCTGGGAAACACCTTCCCAGCTGCTGTGTAGACATACCCTTAGAGCTTCCAGTATGGAAAACATGAAGGACGTAACATTCCCTTTCAACCACTCTCTGATAAATTTTGGTGTTCCATACATTTGCTGCTAATCCTTACGTTATTGCAATGGCATGTGGTGTACTCTCAACAACCCCCCACAGTTTATGCTCTGCCTGATTATATGTCCTTTCTGTATTGGTTTACTGTGGAATTTATCAATCTAATCCCTAAGCGCCTGACAAACCGTATTTAATTTTTCCTCACAATTCTCCTGTAAGTTACGTAGATAACATTGTCAGCATTTTGTATCTAGGGAAGTGAGGCACCGGACATGACATGGAGGCTGTGGCAGAGCCTGGAATTAATTCCCCATCGCATGTAATTTAAGTCCTGTGCCTCAATCACAAAATCATCCTCAATATGTTCTGTTTGTATGAACTTTTTGATTTTGTCTTGCTTATTTCTTTCCTACACCTCTTTAGATTATCTCCTTCCTTGCCTTTGTTCTTCTCCATTTCGTTATAGTTGAACACGATTCTTTTGTTGCTCTTCTGTCCACTGTTCTTCTGATTCATCCGACGAAGTGGGTATTTACCCACAAAAGCTTATGCTCCAATACGTCTGTTCGTCTACAAGGTGCCACAGGACTCTTTGCCGCTTCTGATTCATGTTGTCTCTCCCTTCCCATTCTGTTTGTTTTTTTTTCCTGGCACTACATTGCTCTAGTCTGATCTGTTATGCTTTGTGTGCAGGCAGTGAAGGTGTACGTGTCAGACTCCTGTTCTCTGAAGCACAGGCACACAGCTAATAAATTATCCTTCACTGCCAACAGCTGGAGCAGAGCAATTCAATGTAACACACAAGAGGCAATGCTGGACTGCAAGAAGTGAAAAGAAAACATTGAGAGAGAGCCTGTACTCTAAAACCAATTTTTTCTTGTGTTTGGTTGCTTAAGCTCCCAAGACTTGGAACCTTGGCTTAATGGAAACTGGCACTTATTTAAAACCTTCAAAGGGGCATCTCTAAATTTGGGGATGATTTCCTTAGCAACCAGTCTATTTTTGTATAAAAAAATTTAGTAGGAGAGTCTGTCCTGCATTCTTTTTCCAACCACCAGAAAAATTTCCTTTCATCCAACCAGAAATCTTTGTACACAAGATTTCTGTGGCTACCAGCTCTCAGCCCATGATGAGCATGTGCAGTTTTAACTCTTGAGCGCAATGCAGATTAGGCTTTCTAAATAAAATATACCCTGATCAGCCTTCCTACTACTTCTAGGTTCTGCCATGTTAAAAGATGGGGACAGAATTTATTTATAAGAGGCTGCAGCTGCTGTACAGTAAGATGATGAAACACTAAAATACCCTTCTGAAATTTTTCTCACCTGACAATTTTCTGAGTAGTAGGAATGATTGAAACTTCTACACAAAACTTTCAGGTTTGAAATTATGTGGAATTTTGAATGTTCAAGAAGACAGATGCTTCAATTTTAAAAAGTTCATCAGTTTCTGTCTAACTGAAACTGTACATTTTTACTTCTCTGGAATGTAAATGAAGTAGCACTAACTCTCTGCATAGACTTTAATCAGTACCGTTGACGTGTTTCCTGTGTTATATAAAACGTTTCCTGTTATGTATCTAAAACTGCATGATAATTCCCAACCATTAAGAAAGTGATCTGGATGCTCTCTTAGTCTCTAAATCTGTTTATGTCTAAAATTCAATTTTATAATTAAACATTAGTTTTATGAAAATATTTTGCAGATGGGTGGTATTTTATTGTACTTTATATGGTCCAGATGATACAGATGGAAGGAAAAATAAAATGTTTAAATTAAAACTTTATAGTTTGATCCTTTAGTGGTGATTAAAACATTACATACTTAAAGCAAGGTAAAACACTTACCTCTGCAAAGAAATGTTCCACAGATGCAACTGGCTGAGGCTTTCACAGTGAATAGTGAGATGAAATATAATTACTGTTAGGAGGAAATAACTCTTTTTAAATATATACTCTGCTCCCTGCGTAAAGAAAGTCACTTCTTTAGTTGCTGTGTATCAAGCTAAAAATCCCAGACAGTCACAGACTACAAAAACCTACAGTTCTGCAGGGGAAACAGGAACTCGGTTTTAAGTTATTCAAACTGCATACGTTGCATGTTTAGAAAACCAATGGTTTCATCATGTGACTTTAAAGTTCAAATTGTCCTACGCAGTGAGATATTCCAGTAGTGGTTGCCCCAAGCATTTCTGAGTATGTGAGGCCATCCAGTGGCTTTTCATTCAGTTTTTGGATGTTTTTCTGTTCTTGAAATGATCCTACTTGTATCAGCCAACCTTTGCAATTAAATTTGTAGAAGTGCAGTATTTTAAATAATAAAACACAATGAAAAAAGTCAAAGGAAAAAATGCAAAAAAAAATTCAACAAACAAAAATCACCTTGCTTAAAATTAACATTTAGGGTGCATTCCTGCTTCCTGATTCATAGGGTGCTGGTTTTTTTGGAAGGCCAGATCGTGTGCACATGCAATAGCTTATTTTCCAAGATCCAGTGTAATCCCCACCATATATTGGGAGGGAAGGATTTTGAGTCCTTAATGTGTTTTGTGTCTGACTCAGCACCAGTGTTCTTAGTGACAGCATTTCATAGTGTGTTTAAAACTTCAATTATAAATGGGGAAAAAATAGGATTGGCTCATTCCAGCATATACAAGCTCACTGCTTAGAATTTGTTAATCACTGTATCTTCCCTCAAATCAGTACACCCAACAGAAAAATTTTTGTTGTGGTAGTCTTCTGAAAATCTGCAGTAACGAGAGGGATAGGGATTGCGCAGGACCTAAAATTTTCACTGTCCTGCGTTTGGTCAGTACTATGCTTCTACAGCGCCCCTCATCTGATGCATTTCATCATGCTTTAAAGAAAACCAACTGAAAATCAGAGCCTGGTCTTTTTATATAGGGAAGCTGCATAGAACAAATTTTCTGGATTTCAAAAACGAAAGTAAGCTGGAATCACAAATTGCCTAGAAAAAGTGTTTCAGCACCAATTTGCACTGTACCTGAAGGCTCTGCTCAGGATATTTTGGCATCGAACTGTTTTAAATAGATCTCTGAAAGTACACAAGTGAGAGCAGATGGGTAGATGGGTCAAGGTTTTGGTAATGGGCTAAAGAGTTTTTCAGTCTTTCAAATCCAACCCAGGGTGGTAGAGACTGAAAGTTACCAGCCAGTGGTGGTTCAGTCACTATGTCAAATACATTGGTGGTGCTCAGTGGACATGTTTCTGCATTTTAAAAAAACTCTGCTAATTGGGTTTCCTTTTTGATAGTCTTAGCAGAGATTATTATTGGGCCAGGAAGCCTGAGTTACTGTTTCACCCATTGAAATTATTCTTCCTGGTTATTACTAAAGAACATGGGTGGAGCCATGAGAAGAAAATACAAGTCTGCTGTCTTTGCTGTGTATCTCTTCTGGGGATAAACACAGGACTTTATTCTGCAGAGCACTCAATCTTGGTGTCCTTCACTTGCACTTATTTCACCTACATATTTAACCTAAATCAGAAATGTATGTACATTTTTATGGCATGTAATTTGGTCCAGTGGTCTTGGAGTTGGCACTCCACAAAAGGGTTTGATTCCTAGGTTCATCCTCAGATGCTTTCAAGAACTTGGAGCTCTGTGGAGAAAGCATCTAAAAATGACTGTGCTTTACTGGTAAAGTGTACCCCAGAACAGTAAACTAGTAAAGCAAAGCCTAGGGAGTGTCCAGACCCTTTATAAAGGGGTCCAGACCCTTTATTGATGATTAATTTAAGATAAAAACTCTAGTGAAGACAAGCTCTTATGCTTTGATGGCAGGAATAGGCCTCATGTTGCTCTGCAAACCCCCGAGGGCTAATTAAGGAAAAGTGGAGCAGAGATCCAAGGGGAGCTCTTCCTCAACCAAAAAATTGGTTTACCATTCTGGGCTGCAGGTTGAAAACCACTGTGCCAGACACACACTGGCCTGCTGAGCCCTGCACTGCCAGCGAGCCCCTTCCCCTCGAGGCTGACCCGAATCACACGCCACACCGACCTCTTGCCCAATGCCCCACCAACTCCCTATTCCCAGAACTTCCCTGCCCAGAGACCCATACACACACCCTCCTTGCCCACGCCCCACCCTTGCACAATCCTCCCACAGACCCATATGCCCAGAGCAGAGCCAGGACTGGAGCCCTGCGGCGCAGGGCTGGGCGGGGGGACACCATGGGGCCAGGAGCAAGGACCCGAGATGTGGGGCCAGGAGCAGAGGCCAAAGTAAAACCTGGGGGTGCTACAGTACCCCCTCACACACCTGTAGTTCCCAGGCCTATGATGCCCAGCACCCCCAACAAGTCCTCCACTGCTCAGCAACCCCGAGCCTTTCACTGCCCAGAGCCTCCCCCCAATCCTCCAGAGAGACCCACTCTCCTGCCCCTGTCCCCCTGCTCCACTCACTGGCCCTGCTGCTGGCAGGAGCGCTCCAGCAGGGTCGCCTGATCCTGTCTCCCCCTCAGCCAGCCCCGTCCCCTGCAGACTGGAGTGGCAAATTTAGAAATTTTTTTTGCACTCAGCTGTAACCTTAGTGTTACCCCTGTTTATACATCCCAGGAATGCCTTATCTCTTTTGGCCACAGCTTCACACTGGGACCTCATGTTCAGCTGATTATCCACCATGAGCTCCAGATCTTTTTCAGTCACTGCTTCCCAAGGTAGAGACCCCCATCCTGTAAGTATGGCCTACATTCTTTGTTCCTACATATATACATTTACATTTACATTTAGCTGAATTAAAGCACATATTGTCTGCTTGTGCCCAGTTTACCAAGCAATCCAGATCACACTTGAATCAGAGACCTGTTCTCTTCATTGTTTACCACTCACCTAAATTTTATCAGCAATAATTTTGTTTTCTTCTCAGTCCTGGATAAAAATATTAAATAGCATAAGGCCAAGAGCCAATCCCTGCAGAATCCTGCTGGACACACACCTGCCAATGATGATTCTCCATTTACAATTACATTTTAAGATCTATCAGTTAGCCAGTTTTTAATCCATTTAATATGTGACATGTTAATTTTATATTCTAGTTTTTTAATCAAAATATGTTGAACCAAGTGAAATGCCTTACAGAAGTCTAAGTATATCATATCAACAATATTACTTTTATCAACCAAGCTTGTTGATCTCGTCAAAAGAGATATCAAGTCAGTTGACAGGATCTATTTTCCATAAACTCATTTTGATTTGCATTAGTTACATTACCCTCCTTTAATTCTTTATTAATCGAGTCCCCTATCAGCTGCTCCATTATCGTGCCTCATGTGTATGTGTACCTAGGAAGCTTGATCAGTGCCAATGACTCCATCAAGAATGAGGTTAAAAGGAGATGTGCTTTAGTTGCAAGGGATGCATAGAAGTTGATGAGATCGTGGACTGATAAGAACATTATATTTGGTACCAAAGTGAACATTTATCAGTATACTAACAGTATTACTCAGTGGTCTAGAGACACGGTTAAATTAAAGGAAACAGACATCAGAAAGCTGGCGGCAGTAGAGATGAGAGTTCATCGGAAGATGGCAGATACAAAGTGGAATGATTTTAAGACAAATGAATAAGTTAGGAGAGTAGCATCTGAAATCAGGGTATGGGACTGACCGCAGTTGAAAGGATTACGATGTTGGAGACGCATTAGCAGAAAAACAGATGATAGGATGCCAAAGAAAATAATGCAAATGTAAGCACTGTCACAGACCTAGAGGCCGACCACCCACTAGATGGCATGACATCGTGTGCGTGGACGTGACCAGGCTGATATTAATGGAGAAATAGGTATGGACAAGAATGAATGGTAATGCTGTACTGCTCCTCATGTCTGTAAAGATGCTTTGGGATGAGAAGAAGGCAGTTTTAAAAAACTCCCTCTTAAAACTTATAATCATTACAAAAATATACCCTGTATTTTGAATTACTGAATATACTAGGTTTTATTATTAAATTATCTTATGAGAGCAATAACACTTCTAATACTGTGCAGTTGATTTCAGATAGATGATATCAAGCACTTAAGTAGTACTTTATATTTTCAGGTGCTATACAAATATTAACTAATTCTGATAACATTCCTGAGGGAAGAAGAAACTCAGTAACTGAGATGTTAGCAACTTCCCCAAGATCACAGAATAAGTCAGTGGTAGTGGTGCAATTAGTGCAATTACATATCAGACGATATTGAATCCCAACTCCGTGTTCATTTCCCTATACTACACTGCTTCCCATATAAATAGCTGCAATTCTTGGGTGCTGAATGTGTACTGATTATACTGCATTTCAAACAAATCTGACTTGCCCATCTGTGATAATGGTAAAGACCTTTGAACAGAGATACCATAATCAGTATACATTTGCATGATGCCTTATATTTCATGAACAATTAGTCATCATAACTGTTGTATCACATTGACATTGGAAACTGAAAGAGGAGGAGATAGAAATTGTCATTCTTCTCAGCTGGGTCTTCCCTCAAACTATAAATCAGCTCACTATGATTCACTTTAACGATCACAGGATGCAGTCATCTGACTGCAATAAGAGAACAAACTTTATTGTTTAGTTATATATATAAGAGGGCTGATTACTTTTAATTTTCAAAAGATGTTGGCTAAGAAGCTGTATGTGTAGGATGATGCATAACTTTAGTATTATGTTGATTAAGTGAATAACTCTCTTGATACATGTAGGACTAATTGTTAGCAATGGTATTTTTGGTAGAGTGGAGGCAGGTGAGGTAGAAGTTGCAGTAGTTAGCAGTTGTCAGGTTCAGTGATAATTATTAAAGCTCTGTGGATTGCCAGTGATTTAGAATTCCAAGTAGTGTATAAGGCAAACAGTCAGTTGCAGATGAAAATTGACAATTAAAAAAAAAAAACATATTGTTGTTAATATGGCAAAATGAATGGAGCAGATAGATTATAGTTGATATTATTCTAATTAAAACAGACGCTACATTTGTTCTTTGTTTATTTTAATTTCAGACAATCATTTCTTTAATTGTTTGGTATTACTGATGATGATGTCTGAGAGGGAGATCAGAGTCTGTCAACGGCGCTCTCCA